GTCCAAGATTAACCTTCAGGGTGGATATAGCTCGCTCACACCGAGGACCTATCCACGTCATCATTTACCCAGAATGCTTTGTGTGTAAATAAAACAGCCCCGTCCATGTAATATATTTTTAAACTTTTAGTTTAAAAATGATAAAAACTAAACAGCCTACAGTATTTTTACAGTCTTTATTTTACAGTTAAAATACATGTTTATTAAATCATCAGTTGGAGCCCTGCTTCCAGCAGCTTGGAGTAAAGTTTCCCAGGGAGGCTGAGAAGTGACACAAATGACTGAAGATAACAGTTTTTAAAATCTTCATACCACCCTCCAATATTTTATTAGTTATCTAGGATGTTTTTCATTTTTATGATCTTTTAAAAAAACTATCAAAAAACCAGAAAGATGAGTTTTCTGAAAGGTAGATGAAATGCTTAGAGTCAAGTATAAAGATATTAAACTCCTCCAGTAAGTAAAACTATAAAGCAGCCACAGTACACAACAATACTGCCTCTAACAAACAAAATCCTTTAGAATCAAAAGGTCCATTTTGTTTTTTTGTTTTTTCCTACCTGATGAGCCCCTCAGGTACGTTTCACAGCAGTCTGGAGTAAAGGACAGTGAAGCTCAGAGAGCAGCTCAGAAACACAGAGACTCTGGTCTGCAGCTATAAATACACCAGCAGTGTCCATTTCCAGACTGGAGTGGGGGTTGGATTTTTGGGGAGAACACCTAAAGTGCATTGAACTGACTATACACACACACACACACACACACACACACACACAAACACACACATTACCACCACTGGTATGTCTCTGTGGTCAGCCAGAGTGAGTAAGGAGTTTTTATGGGAAACACTGGCAGAGCCTCGGCCTCCTCACCATGATCATCACAGCTTCCTGTTTGAACTTACAAATTCTCCTAAATGTAGGATCATAACAGTTTATTTCCAAGATAAGCTGGCAGGAAATCAAGGAAGAGTGTAGGTTACCTTACAGCTTCTCCTTACGAGCTCGTTTCTTGCTAGACGACACAAGTACGGGTTTACAAAGATCTGTTTAAAGGGTGTTAAGACCCAGCTTAGCTCCAAACACATTCCACACCAGGGCTCGACAATGCAGAAGGACAAATAGTTGCTCAAACCTCCTCCTGAAGGGCACACAGAACCTCCTACCATCAGCCTGCAGAGGCAGCAAGAACAAAAACACATCTGTCTAAAGTCAGCATATTTAGATTTGATGAATAAAAAATATTTTTGTGGATAACAGTTACTGAATGCTTGTGATTTATAAAAAGTTACAAACATGGAAAACAGGTAAAAGAACAACTTTACAAACTAAAAACTGACTATTTCTAATATGCAGTGCAGTCTGTAAGTTGTTTATTTATTAACCATTGTATCAGTGGGTGCCCATGTTTTAATAGCAAATGTTAATTTTAAAATAAACAACTTCTGATATGGACCATTAGGGTGTAGATCTGTGGTCATGGTGGATTAGTTTTCTGCAGAGCAAAGCTTCCACCTGGAGTTTGTCTCACCTGACGTCAATCATTTAAATTCAGTTTCTACCTGGAGGTAAACTGAGAAACCATTGTTTTCATTTCTGTATCAGACTAAAAACATCTGCCACAGAGTGAAATGAACACTCTGACAAAAACTACACAAAGTGCTGAAAAACTGAAGCCTACAATACCCAGAAACAAGAAAACACTTTGAGAAGTTCCCCTAAAAGAGCACAGGTGATAACGCTGACTCAGCACCATCGTAAAACTATTTGTTCCAACTAATTTGGATGGATGGATGGATGGATGGATGGATGGATGGATGGATGGATGGACAGATGGATGGAGAGAGGGATGGATGGACAGACATCTGGATGGACGAACAGATGAATGGATGGACAGACAGATGGATGGACAGACGGATGGATGGACAGACGGATGGATGGACAGACAGATGGACAGATGGACAGGCAGACAGATGGACAGACAGATGGACAGATGGACAGACAGACAGATGGACAGACAGACAGATGGACAGATGGACGGATGGACAGACAGATGGATGGTCAGACAGATGAACAGATGAATGGACAGATGGATGGATGGACAGATGGATGGACAGATGGATGGATGGACAGACGGATGGATGGACAGACAGATGGACAGATGAATGGACAGATGGATGGATGGACAGATGGATGGACAAATGGACAGACAGACAGATGAATGGACAGATGGATGGACGGACAGATGGACAGATGAATGGACAGACAGATGGATGGATGGACAGATGGATAGACAGACAGCTGAATGGACAGATGGATGGACAGTTCTTTATTCTTTCAGCTGCTCTCCTCTGCAGGAGCCACAGTGAGCTTGAAGCACCTTCCTGATGTCACCTGGGTTTGAACCTGCAGCTTCAGTATTAGAACCACTCAGCTAAATGAACAAATATAAACAGTGTACCACATAAAAAGAAGGCCACAACCCTACAAGTGAAGGGCACCCATGTCCCCATCTGTCTTCAGTTGGACAGTGTCTCTGTTTGTCCTTGAAGCTAAATGCTCTCTGTGTAAATAAATCCTGGACAGGAACATTGAGAGGTGCTGTTATTTACAACCAGTGTTCTTTAAACAGTTGAGGAGAACATCTATTGTTGGAGCAGAGTCACCAAAACGTTTAACAAGAAAACAAACTGTTCATTTTAACTATCTATATAACTAGTTCTAATTACTGAGAACAAACTGTTCATATTAACTATCTATATAACTAGTTCTAATTACTGAGAACAAACTGTTCATATTAACTATCTATATAACTAGTTCTAATTAC